TTTGGCATTCCTGATGCCATCGACTTTCTTCTTAATTTTCAGGAGCGCACCATTTAGCAGGACCGTAAGTTACCGAACATGGCTAGTGGCGCTGGAATAAATATCGTTGTGAGTCGGTTACTACAGTGTTGGTGCAGTGAACGCGCTCAAAGGGTACGTGAACATAGCTCCATTTTTACCCATGCAAGCGTATGATGATCTGACCCCTCGAATGCACAGCTTTTAGCCAAGTCTAAAAATATACCTTCATTTATTTATAAGTTTAGAATTATTCCAAGGAATTCATAGGGAAGTTGGTAGAGAATTGGATCTTGCTTCCAAAGAAGTGCACAAACACTGCGCTGCCCATCTTTGCGCCACTAAAAGAAATGGAGCATAACGATCGCCTGAAAGCTCCAGATGCAGTTCACGATCGGTGCGTATAACCTCTTCAACAGTGCACGTAATAATGCCTGAGCATTTGCACTTGCAAACAAAGAACATATACTCACGTTTCACATTCCCATGCAAGAGCCTGGGTTTAGTGCAAATATTTAGCTGTTTCCTTGCTGGCACAACATCAAGCAACACTAACGACATATCTTTCTCTAGTTAAGTTTCACTTCACTTGAGCTGCCAGGCAGTGATTTTGGGCTGGAAATGTAGGCAGCGACCAGCAGCCCACGGCATTTCTCGGTTATTAGGTTTAGCAGCAACTCCTTGTTCAATAATAGGCATTGCACACAATAAGCACTGAGTTATAATTTTGATCGTTCCCAAACTGAGCGTCCTCTAGAGCGGCGACTACGTGATCGTCACGGTGCAAGCTAAGGATCCACTGGAGTGGCAGAAAGCAGAAGAGAGAAGGCCATTACTGTTCTTTCGTTTCCCTTACCAAGCAGCGATTGCGCGAACCAGGTAGATACTTCACTCATAGGGTCCACAACGATCTCAGTGAAACAACACCAACCATTGCTTAATTAACAAAGAGGAAGCCAACCGCCAAAAACTGGCTCTGTTAAATTATTCAAGTCCATTACCCCACGGGCAGACAAAGCGCTATACTTCTGGAATCGGATTTTACTTGGGGGTTATACAGTTTCCGGGAGTGAGCCATGTCCAAATATAAACCCTGGGTTGAATAAACCAGGTTAGTTCGTTTTCAATCATCCAGCACATAATAAGTCTGGTTAAAACCAGGTCAACACGACGACGACGGTGATCCAAGACAAACAGGTTCATCTTTCGCATCGCTGCATGTAAGCTAAGTTCCGGAACGCAAAGCTCGATTTCGACCCTCTTAGTTGGACACCCACTATGAGAACACCTTCTGTATTTGTAAGAGAATCGACCGCGGATGAGCCTTATTCTAATATGGGGGGCACAAGGGAAGTAAAAGTATTCTGAAGACCGCCGGAGTCCGTATGGGAAACGGTCTCCTTATGGCACAGAACATTTTGTTATCAGCTGCTTCTCTCTTCAAGGTGCAATTGGTTGTGTGCAACTTAAGTGACACAAGTACGCTAATGCCTTCCTCACATGCTGCTTCCCTGAGCGTGAAGTCACCAATACCTTAAGCAACAAACGGATACGGAGCACCGATATCGAGGACTGAACACTTTCTTGATTGATGGGCAATCGCCACTCCATTGACCATCTGCGCATCAAGTCAAGCGTCGCTTGCAACCGGTCAGCATACTTGAGCAGACTTCCTGGACTTAACTTTAAGTCGTCAGCAGCTAGCAAACAATACAACCATGAAAGTGGGTTGGTGAATAGTTCAAAGCACTCAGGACCGAGGAAAGGAGCCTTGTGCAACTCTACTGTACCTGAAAATGGTCTCAGATTTGGTTTCATACACCTTCCGTCGCATAATACGACCCTACAAAAGATCGGCCATTCAAGAGAGTAAATCCCGAGAACCAGTAATATGCTGCACTTTAAAGAGGACCCGTAGGTGCGGAACTATATAGAATGTTTTCCTGCAGTTCGCAAATGTGCCGTCTTGGTGAGTGCCGGCCTCATACGATTTAGCCACTGTTCCTCCGGCCATGAGTACGTTAGAGGCATACAGAGCGGGAGCGTTTATATTCTTGTTATCAAGGTGGCGAAGCAAAACCTCTTAAAAATTTTCTCCAAAACATTACACACTACGGATGTTGAACAAATCGGCTGATACTTTCCATGATACTGATGGTTTTCATCTTTTTATAAGGTTTAAATGTGCTTACGTTCCAAGTAAGCAAGAGAAGTTCACTGTCAAGGGTTCACTGAAAACTTGGCAGACGGGTACAAATATGTGCTCAGCCACGGTTTTCAGTAAACAAGGATGTAGCCCATCGGGATTTGGTGAGGAACTTGGATGTAGTTCTGGTTGACACTTGGCAACTACGTCGCGGCTGGGTTCTGAAGGGATGTAGGCACAAGGTAACACTTAAACGGCGGTCCAGTCGAAAAGGCTGAGGAATACTGCGTTGCCAAGAACCCAGATTTTGCACCATATTCGTGATGTAGCTGATGATGTTCGTTGGAATACAAAGCAGGTATTCCATTAACAGCCTTCGTAAGCCTCCTCCGATAGGAGAAAACTTGCTTGGGAGTGTCAAAAATCCTCAGCTAAGCGGCGATCGTACTGTGGTCACTCCTCACGCTGCTGTAAGATACAATTATTCATGAGTAATTTTGAACTCCTTTCACGATGTAACTAGTCGGCTCCTAGCAGCATTTAACGCAAGATCGGTCCGTGGTGGGTCGTTGGAAATTTTTTCCCTTTAGAGCATGGAGTGACCTGTTATGAGTGACGATAAGTTGGTGTACAATAGGGTGCAAGCATTATAAAGGTCTAAGTGCTGCGAGATACTTTAGTTCATGGCGCTGGCGACAATTATCAAACGGTGTGAGACAGCATGTTAGGAGTTACGACAGCCTACTTTCTGATGTCGAATAGAGAGCCGCCTCGTTCAAAAAAGGAAAAAAGTAGTGGTCACTTTTTACGATTGATAGGAGAACAGTCAATCCGGAAGCTTTATAGAGTACCACTGTGAGCACAAGGTCGAAAGTGTGTTGTGTCTGACCAGGACATATTCTGGTGAGCTCAGTAACATCGTGGAGCTTTTGGTATGCAAACGCGGTTTCATGAAAGCCTGCTTCAATGAAATTCGGGGAGAGCAAAATGGATTTATCCCCGGTCAGTGCCAGCACAATTAAAATGTCCCAATATCAGACCTTCCTTGCCTCACCCATTTCTACTAATAGAGTCGAGCTGGCTTACTGTGGAACTCAACGTGGTTATGTACACAACTCCAGTCATAAGAGGCTTGCACCAGTAATGTATCCGACACCAAAGAAGTTCAGCTTCACAGATAGCTTCAACAAAATGATCCCTGACGTCTTCTTTCCGATGTAGAATCGCGCCTACTCCAGGGCTAGCCCCAAAGCGGGATCCACTCGAAATAGCTTATACACTAGAATATGCGCCTCCGCTTACGCGAAGTCCGAGCACAATCATTGCTCTGTTAAAGCCATAAGGTCTGGGCGATTCTCAGGGGCAAGGAACTGAATTTCATTAAGTTTACAAAGTAAGCTACATTGGCAGGTATCGCCACAAACTATTCTTCGATCTCATCCACCAAGTACGACAAACCCTGGCCCCCAAGAGCTTTCTAAACCACACCAAAATCCACAATCCGGAAGTTAATCGCACTAGTCGCATGCTGCACTCGCTCTTCCACAGCTTTTTGCATTCCGAATCGATCCTCTGGGCAGCCGTCTTACAATAAATAACAGGTTTTGCCCATAAGACGTTAGGCTCGTTTAAGAGAGCGGCGAACCTCTTCCTCACTTAGGCAAACGAATCTGAGGAGACGAACTTCAGAAGAAGCTTGTTGCCTACTGTCAAGACGAAAAACAGAAAATGATGTTGCTTTGCTTACTTTCAGCAAAAGGGTGACAAATGTTTGCCACAAAATTTCCTGGTCGCCGAGGATCTTTTAAGCCGGAGAAGCTACGAGAGCTACAGGAGCTTTCATAATGAACAAACAGTGGTCAAGCTGAGTTGGTTTGCTGTTCTCATGAGGTTGGGACTTGGAAGGCGTAGGGTTATTAAGAACGCTTTCCAACTGGCCTACACTGTTGGTGACCAGCTTCAGTCCGGAAGGAGCCGATTGCTTGGACCTCAGCTTGGCACCACACTTTGCTTTTTTCTCACGTTAAATAGCTTTTCTGTTAGCAGATTCTTTTTCAGCACCCTCACTCACTACCGCTGCTTATGTCTTAACCTTAAACTCATAGCTGCCCTGACTTGTTTGTGGCATCGATAGCGGTTGGTTGAGTCAGACTCAGGCAGTGGCAATAAAAATACTAGCTGTCCGGCAGCAGTGAACTTATCAGTCTGGTTGCGTATGGATCGTGGGCTAAGTGGCGGTAGACCGTACAAGACACGCCTATCGCTCAGTACAGGTCGAAAAGAGTCACAGAAGAAACGGAGAACTTACAGCTAGGCCGCTGGAAACCTTTATAAAGACCTGGACTGATGTCGCAACAGGCAAGATGTGGCCACCCGACGCAGAGAGTGCACTGCACAACCTTTTATCTTGAAGAAACGCCTTTATCCCAAATGAAAAACTGGACGCCATCGTGCGTTATACTTGACAGAGTAAAAGTATTCGCTTAGTGCATCTCCAGGCAAAGGAAAGCTGTAAACTTTATATCTCCAAAAAGCCCCAAAGGGAAGTAACAATCAGAAGCAAGTAAGCAAGGCGTGCTAGCTCAGCTTCGCAGAGAAGTTAATCCACCGCATCATAATGGACAAGTTAAAAGCACTTTGGAATGTTAGGTAATAACTGCGAACCTCTATAGAATCTTTCCTAGTTGAATTCATGGGTTCGTTTGTTAAAACTCGTGCACGAAAACGCCGTGTTTTCTAAATGTTTTGCACTTTCCGTGCCCTTCAAGACAGTTTTCCCGTATCTATCTGCGTTTTCGAGTAAAAGTAGTTATGTTCATATTACTCCTAAATTACCATGCTAATATTCGGGACGGTATGTTTTATATGATTATATTGTTGGCTACAGATACCTATAATCTAATCATTGTTTGCTTGAAATTTGACAACTAGATAATGTGCGCACACACATGGAAGGATAACAGTCCGATTCGATGTACTTCTTGATTACTTGTAAGAGCAAATAGAGAGAGGCTACGAAGTGGCTTTATATGGTTTCAAATACTGTGCAATATTATGCAGATGTTTAACTATAAGTCTCTTTTCCAATAAAAGTCGCACTTTCAGACAACGCAATTATTCATTGGATTGCCTCTGAGTGATTATTGTTTTTGTTTCCCCGGCATTTTCAGTGACACATTTAAGATGCACTTCGACCACACAAAACAACTCCCTGTTTTGCGTCACGGCTTCAGTTAAAGTTGGAGTTCAGGTGAACGGGAACGTTTAAAGAGTAGCCTGTAGCGGGAGCCCGGAGAGCGATTCTAAAAAGCATATCGAGTTGCAGGGAAACTGTTATTGGTACAGGAAAATATTCCTCGTTATCTAGCTATAAAAACGACACCGTTGTCGTTCTAGCTAGGGGAACGGAGAATGCACAGCACACAATGCAGTTGCGCGTTGCAGCCGAAACGAGCACCAAGCAGAAATGGCGATGAGCACGTCAAGCATTCGAACTCAGCAATCAGTTCAACAAACTACATTGGTTACCTAGGTGTACAGTGAAATACTTGTATTTAGAATTTTACACAAGCAAACCGAGGAATCTCCGGACTGCTACATAGCCCTCCCCCACTAGGGACTGTTAGCAGTCCTTCTATCTATGTGAGGACTGTCCGTCGCAGAGCAGTCTTGTGCTAGACCATGTTGTGAAACCTGATGAAGTTGATGAGGGAGAATCAGGAAATCGTACCCTAGCGGGCTCCCACCCGTGTCATCCCTACGGTGTCGAATCGGTAAGAATAAATATTTGTGGGAGACACTTTGTAAAGTTTACGTATCTTATTGAGCAAGCAGTTCGTTCTACTTCCAGTTGAGGTGCGGGGATCCAGCGAAAAATGAAACCGAGGTGCGACCAACCGATGGTGTATATGGCAAGCAAAATGAAAAAGAATAGCGCAAATGTATGGCAATAACCAAAACAATGCAGAGCGAAATAGGTGCAAAGCTGTTATTGCTTTTTCAAAAGGTTTTGCTCTTTTTGTGGGTTTAAAACCTTTTTCTCTTCTTTTTGTTGATTTTGGAGAACGTTTATGTGGGCAATAAACTTTGAGAGGCACGTACTATGTAAAATAACACGCGCTAACAATGTCCGAAAAACGAACTGAAAGTTTGAGCTTCCTACTACGTTAACTTATGGTAGGGCGAGTAGGAGTGCTGTCCGTTGAGGCTGTCGGTTCCGCTGGAGCGAACTGACTGGTCTGAGTTTGTGGTGCTGGCAGTGATGGCGCAGGCTGTGGAGATACTTTTTGCACCGAAGCGTTAGAATCGTCAAGGAAAGCGGGTTTGAGTTGATCGACCTTACTTGTCTCAGTCTTACCATTGTAGTCAATGGTAAAGATCTTGTCACTTTTGTGTATGAGGTGGTTGAAGTGGCTGTCGTACGCTGTCAGTGCAAACGAACACTTGCGTGCAACTAGTTAAGCCTTCATCCATCTTGGTATGCAAGCTCTGTGCTCTTGGTTGCGCAGGCTGAAGCTGTCGCATGTGATGCGATAGGCAAGCCGCTTAGTCACCATAGTCGAAGAATGTTGGTGCTTTTGGTGACACAAGTTCATCAGGCAAGCGTTGTGTGCAGCAAAGAAGGAGTGGCATGCAAATCCACTTTAATCGGGTTTCTTATGTCCAAGAAAACGAGCGGAAGTGCTTCTTGACAGGATGTGCTAGATTGGTTACTGAGTGATGTTTTGAGTTGCCGATGATACCTTTCTACCATCTCATTAGCTGCGGGGTAGTCTGCAGTGGTTCGGTTGTGTTGACAACCAAGAACGTTGAGAAGTTTGCTGAAGGATCTGTTAAAGTGTGATCATCTGTCGGTGATGACTACGCTTGAGTAACCAACTTGTGCTACCCATCGTTCTAGGAAAGCTTGTGTAACTGTCTCAGATGAGCAGTTGACTATCGGAATCGCTTCTGGCCAACGGGTGAATCGGTCGACACAGGTGAGCTGGTACACGTAACCTTTAAATTGTGGCAAAGGTCCGACATTGTCGACATGGACGTGTGCGAAAAGAGCGTCAGGAGCGGGAAAGACGCCAAGTGGGCTTTCGGTGTGTCTATATACCTTGGCGAGCTGTCACTCCAAGCATGTGCGTGCCCGAAGGCGGACATCGCGGTTAACGTTGAGCCATACGAAGTGTTCGGTTACGAGCTTCTGCGAAGCACGTATGCCGCGATGAGACCGGTTGTGTAAATCGTAGCAAAATAGTCGACCCATTTTTATTGGAACTACGGAGCGAGGAGCAGTTTGTGAGAGGTCACAAAGAACGGTCCCCCCAGATGAACCTAGGGGAACTTCAAGTAGTTTCAACGAGGTGGTGCGTCGTAGTTTGTTCATGTCGGGAGTAGCTGCTTGGGCAGCAGTCATGGTGGCTAGATCGGTGTTGGTGCCATGCAATAAGCTGATCGGATGAATGTGTGAAAGAGCATTCGCAATGGGATTGCGAGAACCAGAGACACGTCGTACGTCTGTCTTAAACTGAGCAACGTGGTCTAGGTGTCTAGCTTCCCGCGCAGAACACTCGCGTGCTACGCCATTGGTGGGTAGATCAATGTCTTGTGATCAGTGAAGACTGTAAAATGTTGCCCTTGGAGATAGGGACGGAAATGTCTGATACCTAGGTAGATAGGGAGTAGCGCTTCCTATCAAAGATGTTGTAAGGCGAATCGGCAGCTTTTAGACATTTCGAGAAGAAACGTAGTTGTATCCATCGATGGTCGATGAGTTGTTGAAGAACTACATCAACGCAGTGTCTAACGCATAAGTTGTCAAGGAGAGTAGTGCTGATGGATCTGGGTGGCCAAGAAGCACTAATTTGGAGATCGCGTCTTTGAGCTTCTTGAAAGACAAACTAGCGTCGTCAGGAAAATGAAAAGAGCGTTGGTTATCGTGGAGCAAGTCAGTCATTGGTTGCATTATGCTCGAATTATGCTCGGTAGTAGTTGATCGGGCCAAGAAATCGGCGTAACTGTTTGAAGAAACTAGGAGCAGGATAGTCCTTCAGTGTCTGGATTTTGTCTAGCGGAGCTTCACTGCTAGAGAAAGATATTCTGTGGCCAAGAAATTCATTGGCGCTTTGGCCAAGTCCGCATTTATGGGCGTTGACGATAACCTCATGTTGCGTCAAGGGTTGGAAGAGAGCGTGGAGGTGATGAAGATGTTCATCGTCAGAAAAGCTGGCGATGAGAATGACATCTAAATAAGAATAAACGCCTTCGGGTCCTCGCGTTATCTCATGAAGGAAAAGCCGAAAATTTTAAGCAACGTTGCTGAGACCGAAAGGCATTCTGAGCTACTCGAATATGCCAAACGACTTAATGACTGCTGTGTTAGCAATATCGTTTGATGACACAGGTGTTCGATGGTAGGCGCAAATTCGGTCGAATTCGTTCAAGTTCTACTTACTATCTAGAGCTGAGGTTAAGTCGTGTATGCGAAAAAGGGGTATTTATCCAGAATGTTTAATTTGTTAGGTGCCCTGTAGTCACCACAGAAACGCCAGTCACCGGATTTTTTCGGTACCGTGTGTAATGGTGATGCCCATGAACATTTAGACGGGCAGGTTATTCCTAGTTCGAGCATTTGCTCGAATTCCGCCTTAGCAGCTTTGAGCTTGTCCGGGGCTAGTCTGCGAGAACAAGCAGAAACAGGTGTACCCTTATTGCAAGTATGCTGCATGAGGTTTGAGGTCACGGGAGACAAGTCGTTCGGAATGCGAACGAGTTTAGGGTGATTGTTGAAAAGGTCTATAAAAGGATGTGAAGCTTGAGGTAGGATCTGAATGGGGGTGATAGCAGCCACGTTGACGCCAGTCCCGATAACACTCAGCTGTGTCCTAGAGTCGATAAGCTTCTTCCTTTTAGCGTCAACGATAAAATTGTATCGTTGATGAAAGTCCATACCCGTGATGGCGAAAGGCACAACTGCTACTATGAAAGGCCAGCGAAAAAATCGCCGGAGGCCTAGATTGAGCGTTAGCAGCCATTGACCGAAAACTGCGATTGGTGTACCATTGGCGACACCCAGCTTGGTCGGTGAGGGTGAGACTACCTGTTCGGCTACGGTGTCGATTGGGAACTCAGTGCCGGTAGTTCAATCCCTAACGCGAATGAGGCGACTTTGGTGTTGGCCAGTCGCGTTCGTCGTCGTTACGGGCCGGCCTAAAAGTTTTCCTGCTTCTCGGCAAGGTTGTATGGATTGCCGCATTAAGGAGCTGCGGTACAAAAGCTTTGGTGGTACCAACAACAAGTCTGCCTGTTGTTGAACTTGGAGGGTTTGAAGGGCAATTCTGATCAGCTATGACGATGACGGTTCATGGTAAGCTGTTGAACCTAGCGATAAAGTGTCGCAACTTGTGTTTGCAAGGCTTCTATAGTTGACTCTAAGCTAGTGATAGAAGTGCCATGGGAAGCGAGGGCATTAACCTTGCTGACGTCGGCTTGTAGCGTATGTAGCGTAAAACATAATAATTTTTCTTTTTGCCTAGTAGCCGGCTGGTAGCTTACCGGAACGATGCCTATCTGTTGCTGGTAGTTCAGCTGGCATTCAACTGTCGTATTTATTTTTCCTTTATGTATTGTATGTATGTATGTATTTCCTTTATGTATTGCGGTACAATAGCGGAGGTGTTTTACCATCTCTAGCTGAAATGTATAATGATGATGATGATGATGATGTAGCTCTGATCGTTCAATGACTCGATCCGCTAAACCCGCTAGTTGCGTGAGTGAAATAGAGCTCACGATGGCTAGAATCGCTTGCGTGTTTTTGCTAGCCGCTGTAGCCCTAGTTTGCGAAGTAAAGTTTCTCTCATGGTTGTGGAACCAAGGAGTTGCTGCATCTCTCGTAGCAAGGTTGAGGGCAGTTTGTCCTTCAGCTGCAGATCCCTGAAAAGCTGCTGCAGGCGAACTTTCTCAGTCATCATCATCATAAACAGTAGTACATCAGCCATTTGAACTGATGCTTTGCTGCCATACAACCATGAGGACCTGTGAAATAAAGAATAAAAAGAGGGAGAGAAGGGGGACTTACCTGAAAACCTTAATGCCCTAAGCAGACATTCAGGGTCAAGGCGCCTACACCTTGTGTAGACAACATACCGTCACAAACAGCTGGCTATCGTGCAAAGATAAGGCGGCATCGGCCAGACAGCTTCCTTGCCGCTTTCACTGCCCCGCGTCATAATCAGCCATTACTATGCAGATAAATCATCATCAAACACACTTTAAACAGACAATCCGATTAGGAGACGGCAGCAGACGCGCCACTGATGTCTACTGCGAGCCCTGTCCTGTAAAGTCTAGAGCCAAGCACAAGGTGAGTCAAGTGGACTCCAACCGGGAAGGCGAGACGGACCAACGGCACCCAGTTTGGTAGTCAATAACTTCATTTCCCGCTGCAAAGTCAACTTCTGTTCACCTCGAGTCCTGTGCCATCCTACACCTGGTAGACTGAACAAGGCCCTCCAAGGTAAGCGGTGACAAGGCATACGTAGCAAGTGCCCGAGCCAACGCAACTCATTCAGTGCTATCTGTTGTTCTAGGGAGCTAGCATGATCATCACTACCTAGTACTCGCCTACGCACATCATCGTTGCGGACACGCTGGTGCCATCCGACACCAGCTATGCTTCGCAAACAACGATGATCAAAGACTTGAAGGCGCCTCAGATCTTCAGACCGAAGGGGCCAAGTCTCACTACCATACAGCAGAACGGCCCTCACTGTGGCCTTTTATACACGGCCTTTCAGACGGAGGGAAACTCCCTTCTGTCGCCAAAGATGCCGCAGGTTTAAGGTAGCTCTGGCTTTTGCAATGCGTGAGCTGACGTCAGTTTCTATGCGCCCATCATTGCTGATGCAGCTGACAAGATAAATGAAATGATCAACCACCTCGAGTTCCTCGTTAGCAAGCATCAAGGGGTCATCAAGTGGCTAGGGATTCTGCAGCAACCCTTTGCACTTTGAAGGTGCGAAGTGCATACCAAATAATGGGACCACTCTGGATAGGCTATTCAAGGTTGATTGGGCCGCCTCAACATTGTCGAAAAGCAAGACGATATCGTCCGCATAATCTAGATCAACTAACCTTTCACCAGGCAGCACTTCAACGCCTACGACGTGAGATTCCGCAAGGGAACACACCATGATAGAATCCACGACGAAATTGAACAAAAACGGGGAGATCGGACAACCCTGACGAACGCCACTTGTAGTCGGAAAGCTATCCGATAGGGCACCATAGACCCTGACGCGGCCTCTAGTCTTCGAGTATAGAGCACGAAGGATGTTCACATATTTCGTGGGAACACCTTTCCGCGCAAGTATTTCGAACAGAATCGATTGATCGACTGAATCGAACGCACTCTTGAAATCGAGGAACACAGCTATTGTCGGTCTGCGGTATGCGTGGCGCTGCTCTAGCACCTGCCGCAAAGTGAATATATGGTCTATACAGCCACGTCCTAGGCGAAAACCGACCTGCTCTTCCCTAATCCGAGATTCCCGTTCCGCAGTGAGGCGACGAACGATAATCGAGGCCAGTAATTTTGTCACAACTGGCGTTAGGCTAATACCCCTGTGGTTCGCACAGTCTGTGCGACTGCCCTTCTTGTATATTGCCACTATAATCGATTCGCTCCAATTAGCCGGCACGCTCTCTTTGTTGCAGATACGTTCGAATAGGGAGGTCAGTGCCCTGCAGAGGACCTCACCTCCATCCTTAAATAGTGCAGGTGGTAGGGAATCCGGGCCAGCGGCACGAAAACGATTGAGGGCTGTGATCGCGTTTCGGACCTCGGCCTCCGACGGAGGCTCTAAACTAACCGTCCATGGCTCGTCCTGCATCACCTGAGTAGGAAGAGGTCCGGGAGCAGGAGGCCAGCTGAATTGATCTTCAAAGTGTTCAGCCCAACGAGCCATACAGGGCTCCTTATTGTGTATCAGCGCACCCGCGCTCTCTCTGATTGTCTTACTGACGCCTGGTTTTCTCGGACCAGTGGTGAGGATTAGCTGGAAGAGCTTGCGGTAATTGCCTACTGCTCCTGTCTCCTCCTTTTCTTGAGCCCGACTGGTCCACCAGACTTCCTTGTCAGCACGTAGGCTCCGCTTTAGTTCACGCCTAATAGCCCATCTGGTCACACTGTGTTCAGAAACAGCCGGGAGGTGCCTTCTAGCTTCCAACAGGTTCACCGACCTCTCGGATATCCAGTGACTGGTGCGGTGACGATTGATAGTGCCATAAACAGATGCTCCTGCGTCATGCATAGCGGCCGAGATCCTATTCCACTGAAGTTCAGTGTCATTAGGACAAGACAGCGAGAGTTCGCTATGCAGTGCTTCTTGATAGGCTTGCCTTACCGAGGACTGAGACAATTTCTCCGTTGCCAATCGAAGGCGACGCTTGGTGCGCCTTCTACTAAAGTTCATGGAGAAGCGACAGCGCACCAAGGCATGATCAGAGTCGTCACAGGTACTCCAGTACGAGCAACAATCCAGAATGGAACCGCGCCACCTGTAACTTATGGCTATGTGGTCAATTTGGGTCCATCGCTGGCCAGCTACAGGTGGACGCCAAGTGGCACATCGGCGCCCACCGTGTATAAAAGCAGTGCTAGTAAGAAACAACTGGTGCTCCGCACACAGTTGCAGCAGACGTTAACCGTTGTCAGTCCATTCGGTGTTAAGCTCATAATTACCACCCAGCTGAACTTCTGAAGAGTTCAGACGCCCTACTTGTGCGTTCATATCCCCTGCAAGTACTATAATATCTGAACTAGTAGCACGGCGTAATACCGCATTCAGTTCGTCATAGAATGTGTCCTTGACTGCATTTGAACTGCAGTCGGTGGGAGCATAAGCGGAAATCACGAACAAACAGTGTTTTGTTTGACTTCGCGAATTCACCTTAGCTGATGTCGTCAAACGGGCTGCACACAAACGCTGTTAACTGGAATCCAATCAACCAACGATGACTCAGCCTTGGAGCTGAGAATGATACCTACACCAGATTGACCCGTGAGTGCCGCATCGGCGTCTTCGGATGCGTGCAACCAATAACTAGAGGATAAGCCGGGTGTGGTCAATTCAATAATCCCGTTAGGGTCATTAATCCTAGTTTCGGACCCATAACACACATCAACACCCTGTATGTCCAAGGTGCCCGCGAGTGCAGCCTGCTGACCTGTTTGTCTTAGAGTGCGGACGTTAAATGGCGCCATGGAAACGGGACAGCGTCGCCTTATAAGGGACTTTTGCCGATAGGCGTCCGATAGGTGCTGTGGGATGGTGGCTGCAGATGGTACTACTCCAGTAGCACTTCGGTTGCTGTCAATTAAGCTGGGAATTATAGGCAGGTTAGAAATGGGGGCCGGGATGGGAGTAAGAGAAAACGGTGGAAAAGAAAGAAGGGAGGCGCCAGCAGCAGCATGTTTTCGCTTATCCGCCCTGCTGTATGCAGCAGATAAGGCGACCCTTGATAATCTGCGCGACGGCCGATGCAGGATGAAGTTAATGTTTGAAGAAAATGTCATGGTTGTATGTGAGCTGAGATACTGCCAAGGCGCCCAGACCTAGACAGGAGGACGATTAGGGTCCTCATCCAAAGCCTTTGGCTCAAAAGCCTGTCCGCAAGGCAGCGGGGTGGCAGTGATTCAGTTTTACAGAAATGGACGCCATCCAATTTCAAACCCCCAACCTGGAGGACCAAGGCAGGGCGGGCAAGCTTGGACGCAGTATATCAGATGGGGCCGAACGAAAGCTGAGAACAGCTTCACTTT